AATGTGGAGTATGGGGTGATACACGATATATTTTATTTTTAATTAAAATAAACTTAATTAATAATTTTTTATAATTTTTTTTATTTTTTTAATTTGAAAAATCACTTACTAAATATATTTTAATTTTAATTAAAATAAATTTTATCAAAAATCTTTTTTAAATGTAATTTTTTTTTTGTAAATGTAAGTACTTTTTGTTATATATTTTTTTTAATTTTATAGATCTAAATCATTTTTGGTTCAAAAAATGTTTAGGGACTTAATCGTTAAAAAAATGAATGTTCATTGGGTTTTTTTTCGAACTTTTTTTTCACTATTTTACCACATTAACTAGTTGTACAAGTCATAAGAATGTATCCACCAAGTTTTAGTAAAGTCCAAGGAGTTATTTAACATGTTTTGGATTGTCCAATGACTTATTTGTTCCAAAAAGTTGTCCAATGACTTATTTGTTCCAAAAAATTGTCCAATGAGTTATTTAACATGTTTTAAATTGTCCAAAGAGTTATTTAACATGTTTTAAATTGTCCAAGGAGTTATTTAACATGTTTTGGAATGTCCAATGACTTATTTGTTCCAAAAAATTGTCCAAGGAGTTATTTAACATGTTTTGGAATGTTCAAGGACTTATTTGTTCCAAAAAATTATCCAAAGACTTAATCATTCAAAACACTAAAGTCCATTGGGTTTTTTTAGACTTTTCCCTTTTTCAAATATATTTTGAGAAAACTAATACAGATATGCATTCCTTTTAAATTTTGTTGAGATTTTAAAGTTTTTTTAAAGGAGAAACCAAACATGATGATGTGTCATCCTCTAAACATTAGAAGTTTATCTTTCTTTTTTCTTAGATTTTCGATTTTTTAAAATATTTGATATATAAAAGACTTTTCCATCCCTATATTTAAAACATGAAATTCATTAAGATAATGTGGTTTTGGTAATTTAAAAAGGTTTAACCTCTAACCTTTTTATCTCCATTCTTGGAGGTGAAACCATCAGAGTCTTCTATGTGCTCCTCCATGATTTGTCCATCAATAAATATCTTTTTCATTTGATGTATTCTTCATTTTACTAATCATTAGTATTCAACAAAATCTTTTTTTAGGTAAATCTTTCCGCTCTCTCCATCACTTGATTTGTTCTTTTATTTTATAAACTGTATTATTCAACAAGATGGTTTTCAGGTTTATTATCATAATACTAATTTAGGTATTACTCTTCCTCTCTATCACTTGATGTGTTATTCATTTTCCAAACCCTTATTCTTCAACAAAATCTTTTTTTAAGGTAATCTTTTATTTTCTCTCTCCATCACTTGATTTGTTCTTTCATTTTATAAGCTCTTATTATTCAACAAGATTGTTTTTCAGGTTTACTATGAGAATATTAAATTAGATATTATTCTTGATTTTTGTTGGGATTTTAGAGTTTATTTTTTTTACTTTTGTCTTCTATATTTTTGTTAAGTTTTTTTTTCAATGGAATTAAGGGTTTGTTCTTGGCAGCGGTTATAGAGTTTTGATGACAACAATGGTTCAGTAATTAAATTTTGAATGTATATGCATTAAAAAATCTATTATATAACCTCAACAAACTCCAATATCTTCTTTTCAATTTGTATTTCTTTTTTCATATTTACTACAAGAAGATAATCCTACATTCTCTTTCGACTTTTGTTGGGATTTTAGAGTTCTTTTTTATTTTCATCTTTTATATTTTTTCTAAATTTATAATTTTACTAATCATTTTATTTACATGACACTTGAATATAATAATATCTATGTTTTTATTTACATAACAATTAAATTTAATAAAGAACTGATTATAAATGATATATATATATATATATATAGGTGGGTTATTATACAACCTCTTACATTTGTACAACCAATTTAACCAAATCTCAACCGTCCATTTAATTTGATAAATATATAATTTATAGAAGTTTTGATTATTTCTTAATATAAAGTATTAATCATAATTAATGAACTGTGTTCATATTCCATAAATATTTAAATCATAATAAATAAACTCTCATTATTTCCATAAATATTTCAATTTTATTGGGTTGCATTGGTTGTATAAATGCGATAGGTTGTATTTGAAACAAACTCTCTCTCTCTCTCTCTCTCTCTATATATATATATATATAATTAAAATGAAGATGATGATTAATCACATTAATTTAATACCTTTTAGTTAACAAGTAAAATAAACTCATTGCAATCAATATACATAAATAAAATACTTAAAATATTTCATATAATATAAATTATCATTCATTATTATTTTCATAATACTATTATTTTTATATATAAGTTGTGATAACTGGGTCCTGGTTATGCACCTGAGATAATTGTTATTTGATTACCTGATTACGTGATTACGTGATTATCTGACTAATTGCTATAATTGATCATGTGGATACATGCTTGCATGAGATTAATATGTGAGTATGTGTATATTTTCATATATAGAAAACATGTACATATGTTAATATTATATGTGCATGCATGGGGTTAGGCATGCATATATTTATGAGTATGCATGTAGGCATGCATGCATGAAAGGAAAGTATGGATGGGTGTATATATTTTACATGTATATGTATCATGTATGCATGAAGGTATTTGTATGATTGGGTTATATACATGTATATGCATAAAATATATTTCAATACCGCCTTACTTTTAAGGAAGGTATGAAAAAGAAATTTTTAGAATGGCAAGCTTTTCCTT